ATCAAAACATTAAAATAATATTGCAGTGGGAATTGGTGAATTGATAGACGAGGTTAAAATGACTTAATATGCTGCAAATGCTACTTTTTGTGGGTGAATCAAGTGGTAACATACAAATTTTATTCCCTCATGCAAGATTCTCTTCAGTTGACTATAGCCCTACTATTATCGGTGTTCAATACGTTATCACTCAAAATCACCATCAGCTCATGGTTTGCAGATGGCACAAAATGAATGACGCTTCACAGACTTACGGTGTTTGTTTGATTGTGCTCTTCGCCTTTTATTGAACATTCACAGAGCTGTGATTCCTTCGGTTTAACAGCTAATGCGGCTCAAGTGATGGCTGAAAATATACCAAGAGAGCCATAGAACAGGAATTATCCCGGGGATAACATCCAATTAATATATTAAGATGTGTGCCAAAAAGAAGATCAACACTTGTATGTTCCTTTTAGCGGCGCTCCCTCCCTGGCACCGTCGTTAAATCATTTAGCTGTGGGAAGAGAGTGGGAGAGGAAAAGGGCTTTTCATCTCAAGGGCAGATGTGGTATTTTAACATTCAACATGCCACAGGTTATGGATCAGCAGTCTAAAGCACATCTCTCTCCACCCCCACTAGCCTTCACTTTCTTCATAGATCTTCCTACAGTCGCTGTCTATGTCCTGTTTTGGCCTGTCTTCCCCTCCCATGCCCACTCTAATTTTCTTGTTTGTCCACAGGGGCTGGACACATTAGGAACAGGAGGAAAGGTTAATGTTACACAGAAATGTTGTCAAAGTGTGAGTCAAACAGCCTTGCGAGCCCCCTCAGAGACAAAGCATAAAACTCATGCTTCCTATTTAGCTTGCCACCTATAAAGTAAGACGAGTTCGCCTGCACACACACAGGCTACATGTGATATATGTGAGGTGGTGATGAATACAAATGGAAGTAGTTTGAAATGTCTGCCAGCAGTAGCCTTTTAGGATCATTGATGATCGAATGAATGCTGGCGTGATAAAGTATGAATGATCGAACTTCCGTGAGCTTTATATACTTTGGAGCCTGATGCAGAGTTTTGTGTTATAGCCCAAGTCGTATCATATCACTATTTATCTAAATTCAAAACAGTACTTTAAAAACACGACTATGTGAACCATTACTGCGGCCGTGTATTAAGAAATGAATGTAGTTTACAAGCTCGTGCAGCGGTGGGTATTTTACAGTTGATAAAATGCTTCAGACAAACTTACCCTCCTGACCTGAGGTCCGTCGTAATTGCTGACTGAGTGCTTGTTCTTCTGTGAAGTGAAGTGAAGACCGCTAACAGGGCGACTCAATTTATTAATGCCATTCAGGAAGCTGTCGCTCAGAGGAATGGGGCGGCACAGGGCAGGGTGTGAAATACCATAAACATCGTCATGGCACTGAGCGGTTTGCTGAGCAGCAGGGCAGAAGGTGATGGGATGCACCCGAGTGCAATGAAGAGCGCCGCATGTGCAGAGGAGTGAGCAGCGCCAATTGCAATGTAGACCACTAGACCACTGAACGTCCTCCTCCTGCCCTCAGTCTGGATATTCATGGCTTCTTCTACATATAGCTCATGGCATGTAGCTCACCTACTGAGTTCAAGCTTGATGGAGCAGACAGTCTTGCGGCAGGACACCAGTCAGCTGTGCTGCAGATCACAGAGGATGACAGCAAAGGCAGACCTGAAATGAGGTGGATAACATACAGATGATACGTGGCACAGGTCAGCTGCGTGGATAATGCAGTTATCATTAAAGAATAGGATTCCATTTTTTCACGGTGGTGTGAAAAGTTGATATAGCTCCCAGGTTTATCATGATTACAGGTTTTATTTCGGCTGATATTGATAAATATTTATCATTTTTAAGATACCTAGGGTTAATAATAAGTAGAAGAAAAAAGGTTTCCTATGAATTTCACCACCTTACTTTGAATTTATTCACTTTATCAACGCATACAGGTGATAATTTTAATGTTAACAACTAAGAAAGAACATAATGAAGAATGAGAGAATGTTGCCATGCTTCATGGGTTATATTTCCACTTTATGAATATGGAGTATTAAAGATGTTGTGGTAATTACACGCTGCTCTTTGCTTTCTTGTAATTTTGTATTACTAAGACAGACAACTGCTTGATTTGGTCGGTCCAGAGCGATGAAATCATTGAATCATTTATGCTGAACTTCAAAATGTATTTTTACATCAATACTTTTTATGAGCCACATTGGTCAACAGCATAAAATGTGTTATTCGCATAATAAAGGTTGTAAAGTTGTTTTTATGGCCAGTTCTTGTGTATTGGCCTGCATTTATGTCATGTGACCCACAGCAGCAAAGCCCGCATTAGGAGGCTGGACTGGTGGTGACGGCATTAACCACAGAACTCTTACCCAGCAGGCTAGATTTGTAGTCCTGTGTGAGACTATTCTTTATTCGTTTTTTTGTTTTCTTTCATTGTTTTCTGTTGTTTTTAGTCATTTTTTTGCTTCTATGCTACAAAACCACTTGGTTAGGTTTAAGAAAACATAATGACTTTGGGTAAAATACACCAAAATGCTAAACACAAAGCTCCTTGTTTTATGGTTCCTAGGATGCTGACTGCCACTACACGAATAGCCCTTAAACTTAAGCATCTCATAATTTTACAGCCTTTTTTGTGAAAATAATGCGTTTTGAGGTGTGTGCTGGTATAGCTGGTACACATTTTTGTGTGACACTGGACTGATTATACAGTGGACAAAAGACTACAGTAACCTAAAGCTCTTTTGACACACAGTTGTCCTGAAATGTATTCATACTCTTCCATTAGAGAAAAGGCAAAATTCACAACAGTCACTCAAATAACTACAAACTGAAAAAAGTAATAATAAATAAAAAAATGCTAAATTATAATTAAGTGAAATAAGACATTGCTTTGAATTGTTGTTGAAAAGAATAATTAGCAAAAACAAACAAAAATGTTCCAGACAAATTAGAGCACTTTGCTTATGAGCAGTGGTCCAACATACCTGTCAACAGGTGCAGACGTCTGACTGGGAGTTACAGAAAACACTTGATTGTAGTGATTGGCTCAAAGGGTTGTTCAACAAAATATTACTTCAAGGGTCCCATTATGCCTGCTTCTTTGTTTTTTTATTTTAATTTTTTAATATATATATATATATATATATCTGTTGAATCACAATTCAAAAGCAATGACATGATTTTCAGAATTTTTTTTATTTATCATCACCTGTCTATTATCACAATTGTCAATTTCAACTTATTTCAGTGACAGCAGTTTTTTTCCCTTCTTCAATGGGAGGGTATGAGTAAATTTAAGGACGACTATATGTGCAAGCATGATAGTGTGCATTAGGACAAACCTAAAATATGTGAACCTCTCCTTTAAAATTTGCTATTTTTTCTAATTTACTTTCTAATGAATACCTAATCATTTATCTGTTCTAGTCTTTTGATGTGTAACGAAGCCTGTGTGTGTGTGTGTGTGTATGTTGATGAATGATAGTCAACAGACATATTTAATTATGTACACTTTACTGTGTAACGTGTCTGTCTGTTTTCCGCCCGTATCAGGGCCTGATTAGCCAGAATCTGGTGAACCGATTATATCACCCATAGAACGAGCCTGAGTTTATACTGTGTGTATGCGTGTGTGTGGAGGCGTGCTGCTTTGCTTTTTGCACATGCCTGATAATTGGTGCGAATGCACTATAAATAGAGTTTTCTTGGAACCTTTACACATCGAGTGGGAAGTTGAATTTGTTGCAGACATGTTCCTCAGACTGAAATCTGGGCATGTTTTGTGCAGGTGTTTGTTAATATCCCCCATCGCTGCATGTGACAGTTTTAATCAGCTGATGATCGGCAATCCAGGATGCTCCCTTTTTTTTGCTGTACATTAATAACGTACCACAGTGGCATCAGTCTGCCGCTGTTAAAACCAGAACAATCTGCTGCGCCTTCATTCATCTCCCTGCTGTCACCAGCGCAGCCCCAGCTATGAGGAATACTTTCATATGGATTCACCGTCCCCTGAGACTCGTTGGCAGCTTATTGTTCTCCATATTTTCATGTCTGGGGAACTTTTTTTTTATATTTGGCTGAAAATGAAGATAAATTGTTTCTCTGTTTCATGTGGAGAGCAGGGAACAAATTTACATTTTCTTCTTTCCCTGACTCATTTGCATATATGCTCATTTTCTGTGTTTGTCTGCCCATGGGCTGCTGGACGGTATGCTTTTGTTTACTTTTCTGTTGATGCAGTGAAATGATGTAGTGATTCAAATGAGCACTTTTTCCTTCACTGAAGTTTCACATTTTCACATAATGCCACCTGGTGATTTGGCATTTACTTTTATTCCTTATAGCAGATGTCTCTCCAGAATTCTATGAATAAAATGCAAAATGTGTATGGTCCTGTCAATAGACAGTATATGTTCATATTGATACTTATCCTGTATTTTTCTTTCTTTCTTTTATGCTAAAATACATTTGATTTGTTCAATGTTAAAAGAACAGTGAGAATAGGAATTTTACTTTGAGTAGGTTGCTAAGCAGGGGAATTTACCGGAAATCCATTTTGCATGGGGTTTCCTGCGTTTTTGATCTTCTTTTATTTTGGTTTTTGGCAGCAGTCCACCATGCAGCCTTGTGAATCATCTCTAAAATGTTTCATCGTTTCACTTGCATATTTAACATAATTTTCATCACTGTCACAAATCGAATTAACATGATGAAGCTGACTCAGGGGGAAGCCTTTTCGGAGAGAATGAGAATGGGAACGACTAGCTCGAAGAATAGTGTTTATGTAAGTTGTCTTAATACATAACCTGCATCTAAGATTGTTCCTTTTTTTAAAGTGAACAACAGTCTGATAAAACAATCTGCTCTTTGCTGAAAGAACAATTGGACTGTATCTACTTGGCTGTAATATTCATAAAAAAAAAAAAACGTTGTCTGACTCTGAGAAAACTAAATCATAGATGGCGGTAGGATTTACGTCATGTATTTATTAAAGTTTTTTTTTTTTTTTAAGTTATTTTTTTGGTCTTTTTTTTATATAGGACAGTGAAGAAAGAGGCAGGAAAGTGGGGGAGAAGAATGGGGCAAGGACTTGCAGCAAAGGGCCATGAGCAGGATTGCATCGGGGACTATAGCCCCTGTACATGGGACGCCAGCTCAACCGGGTGAGCTATAGCGGCGGCCCTTGTATTATTAAAGTTTGACCACCGGCCCCCAACATCTCTTCAGAATCCATCTTTAACAGAATACATATGTCGTGCCAATGGGGCAAAACGTGGTCATTTATTTGGCAAACTAAGTCAATAAGATGGGGAAAGTTCATCCCTCTTGTCCACATTATTCCTAATTAAGAATAAAGATTAAAAAATTTAAATTAGTGAGGTCAATATGATAATCTGCATATTGATTATAGGTCATAAAAAGCTTTGTGAATTAAATCCATACATATGTTTGCATTTTGAGGGCTCTTGACGAATCATAAAACATATGATAATCAATAAACAAACCTCCCCACCCGACAAATCTTAGAAATGAACGGGCATTGCAGACGTCTCAAGAACATCTACTATCACTGGTGGCATTTCTACTCCTTCTCTCGCTTTGCTCTTTTAAGAGAACTCCCATGCTTCAGAAGACATTTGGCAGCCACTCTGCACTTCCCCCACGTCTTCTGCAATCCCTCAGATTATCAAAGTATCCGGTCTCCATGGAAAACAGAGAGAGGGGTGGGGGGTGGGGGGGGGGGGATCTTTGGCAGAGGTGGTTGCCCTGGCAACAAGCTCAGTTCAGTCAGCTGCCCAGAGCAGGGGCAAAACACAACTGACTAAACCACGTAGCTGGAAGTTGGCAGACAGTTGACAGGATGGAGTACATACCTGTCTGGACCAAGCAAGACGACCGGTGTGAAAAGGATGGTGTGAAAAATCCTAAAGCTGAAGATCTTTTGAGGATAAACTGGCATCGATGAATTTTTGTTCCCTTATAATCTCCCACAAACTGAAAGTTTCTAAAGTCATAACTGTTTCCTAAAACAATTATTCTCTTTTGTAAAGTTTCTCTCCTTCCTGTTTCTTGTTTTTGTTTTTACTTGCACTGACACTAAAAAACTGCACACCGTAGTGCTACAGTTATGATTTGCTCATTAAAAGTACGGAGAATACTGCTAATATACACCAGAACTTTTGACACCGGCAGTCAAAAAGACTTTAGCAGCACGTTGCCTTGTCTTGCACATGTCCTAGTTTTGCATTTGGTGAATATGTACTTCCTCGCTGCTGTCATTCAAACCATATTGTGTCAGTGATTGTTAGGCTGAGCTGCTGAGCACTTCAGTTTTCTCCACATTCCTGTGCCAAAGTGTCTTTTAAGGAAGACTGTCAAACTGAAGTGAGTGTTATGCGTTTCATTTTAAGAGGCAGTCAGTGTTGACATTTTCCATCATCTATGTTGCTGTCAGCTCCAGTACAGAATCATAAAACCTGCACCTGACAAGCTCCAGGATCTGCTTTGCAACTGCAGCTTTGTCTGAAGCCCATTCAGAAAGTGTTGAGATGGGCTGCAGTAAAATGAAGTAATGTTGCAGTATATTTTATTTAAAAGGCTTTACACCCAACGCTTTCACCTTCATGTATGACAGCTCAATACATTATGTCAGGTGCAGAAAATGCATTGATTTACTTTTGTTTGGAGCAGCATCCAGAATCAGGAAGACTAAATAATGTATGTCTAATTGATGTGGCCTGACAGTACCTGCTTTGACCTGAACAGACTTACATGGCAGCCTCGGGGCTGCTGAATATTTGGTCTTCACTGTAAGTCACTCTGCTGCTGACATGGAACTGTCTGGTTCCAGGGAGACTATACGATCCAATTAGTAACTTGTTGACAAGTTGTGAATGTGAACATAAAGGTAAATGTCCAAAATGAAAATGTCAGCCATATCAAATTAAGCAGCACACCATTAAATGGACAAATATCCATCCTGTCAGTGTCACTGTGTCTGAGGTTGGCTCTCAGGGAATGCTGACTGTTATTGAATGTCTAAGTTATGCAGCATCATCAGTATAGTACAGTATAAGGAAACAGTGCAGGAAAAACTTCACCCTTTTTAACCAAATCAAACAGCTGTTGAGGAAACACTAAGCAAAGTACAAAGCAATATCTTTGATGTGTAGGTTTAGTGGCATAAAAGCCTTTAAAAGTATATAGCTCAGTGAATTTACAGACAGACAGACAGACAGACAGCATTGGAAGTTAAAGTTTTACTTCCAGGGACAGCACATAATAAGCACCTATCAGAGGTGGAGTGACAGTAGTTGAAAAGACACTTTGGACCGAAGAAGAGAAGTAGTGATGGAAAGCAGTGAAATAGACATGTTAATGGAGGGGTTTTGCTCTCACACAGGACTTTTCTGATGAGGATTTTCTTAGCTATTTAAATAGTAATTTAGACTCAGTGAGGTGTGGCCAAATTGAATGAGCTTTAGGAGGGCAGATGGGTCAGACTTAAATGCCCTCTGGAGCAAGATGATATGTGTTTTCAAGAAAAGAAAATGGAAATATGAGCAGAATACAGTGAGGACAAAAGAGGAATTCCTGGTAATTATCACGTTTAAGTTTATTATAATTTGGGGGAAATAAGACGGTAATTTGTTTTGGACATGCAGTGTAAAAATAAACATTTTCTTGTTTGGCAGTTTTTAGCAATTTTGTATGTGTAGTGTAAATATACATGCATTAGCTAATGCAGATGTAAAACAAAGGAAGTATCTCATCAGTATTGCAGTAAAGCATTTAGAAAACAAAGCTACACAAGGTTGAATGACAATAATTCAGTCCAACCAGATGTTTAAGATTTGTGTTTGATTAAAGCATCTTTGTTTCACATATAGATCATTTGAGTCATTACATCCTCAGTTTTATTCTGGTTGATTATTTATATTAAAAACAGCACAGATTATGCACTTTTTTGCTTGGTCTGATAGTGACTTAAGTGCTGGGAGTGTAACTTGTCTTCTGAGGTTGACCTGACAGCCTCACCTGGTTCACTCCATTTACTAGGTGCTCAGAAATGGATCACATCCCATGATGTTCAAGGGATTCTTCATTATGATCCTGATTCTTCATCATGCTGTCAGGTTTTGTTGTGTTTTGTCTTTTTTTATATAACAGCTCCCTCCAAAGTCAAAACTGAACTTTGAAACTCAATTTGTAAGCTATCATGGACTTGAAGGGTCCTTAAAATGCTCAAAAGGAAAAAAATAAATTAGCTCCATCTGCTGATGAAGATCATGTGATTCGATCAAAAGCTCTGGAACGGCTACTAAACAGGCCTTGGCGTGGAATTGTTGTGCCTCCTGTTGTCTCTAAGGGGAGAATGAAAGCTAAAATGTTTACTTTTTGTGACAGACTTTATCTCGTGCCCAATTCAATCCAGTTTGTTTCAGCTCTTCGCCCAAAGAACTGACTTTGTTATAGATGTTTGAGCATCAAATCAACAATATCATCCCCTCAACAATTACCTGCCAAACTCGTCTTTGGCAGCTGAGAGTTAGTGTAGCTCTGTGTTGTTGGAGACTCCACTAAGGGGTCCATATGGCTGAATGAGACAGGGCTGATAAATTTTTATATTGCTTTATGTTCCCTTTGCACTTTGTCTTGGTGCTTTTTATGTTTTATGTAAAGCACTTTGAATTGCCTTGTTGTTGCATTTTGGTCTACAAATAAACCTGTCTTGCCTTACAAAATCCACTGTAAACATGAGCGCTGTGGGAAAAGAGTCCAAAAACTTTTTAAACGAACTGCCTAAATCACCACAAACACTTAAGTAGTTATGCAAAGAAACCACTCCACAACAGCTTCAAAGTCCTAAACTTTAGTTTTTATTGTACCACAGAGTTCAGGAAGAAAGTCAGTTGGCACCTTTGATTTTTTTAATTTATTTTTTTAATATTTGTTTGCATCGGTCCGTCTAGTACCACACACCTGACTACACAAAAAGTCTGTCATTATCAAGTGGGTGTTCCTCGACGCAGAAAGTGAAGCTGGCAGGAGAGAAAAGGTGAACTCATGAGACGGTGCCAGACTCACATCTGGGTAGAGTTATGAGAATCAAACAACATGAGAGTTTTTTTCCCTTCTGATTTCAAATTAGTTGTTGTTCGTCTCATCACCAGCCCACTGGTCGACAGGCCCCCCCAGGAAAACTCCCACTCCTCCAGATGGCCTGTCTGCTTCTGACTGCCAATATCTATGTAAACTTTATTCTGAAAAACTGTATCATTAAAGCGGCATCCTTAAAAGGTAAACGGGTTTCCTCGTCATTCAGATGGCAGGAACAAATCAGCTAAAAATGAGCTAATATTAGAGAACTGATTATAGAAGTGTGGTGGTTCATTTCAAATGTTAAAATCAGAAATAAACCTGCCTCCACAATAGACTAAGGAAGCAGCTGTGCCCTTCCACAGAGTCTTAAAATGTAAAAATAGCATTAGAACAGAACAGGTGGCTAAAAGAACTGAAACAAGCAACATAAAGCTGTTGTTTTTTTGCACTTTTCAGGTCTTTATGGGACTTCCTGTTTTCAGGGTTCACTTTCTCAAACAACAGCCAATGTAATTTTTACAGATCTGTGGAAAAATGTGATCTTTTTTTTTTTTTTTTTGTCTTTGTCTGTATATTGTTTTCCTGTAATAGACACGAGAAAAAAAAGGCAATAGATCAAATATGTTTTTTGTTAAAATGTTTGCTGTAAAAACTGCCTTCGTAGTGAAGAGCTGGTTTGAGCTGGTGTTTGCGTTTATCATTACAGCAAACCTATAAAACTGAATTGTTTGGCAAGTTTTCCTCTCATTTTTTCGTCTTATACTGTAATGTAATAGTGCTTTTCTTCAACCTAGCAATATCTACAGCACATCGTCGCACTGTGTACTGTCGCCCGTCCAAACCCAAGAGTCACATTCTCTGT